GTGCATGCTGCCCCTCTGATAACATCCACACACTGTGAGCCTCACCCAGCAGGAGGTATGTTGTGCTGTGTGTTTGCAGACCTGGGAGGCATCACCATGGAGATGAACCCCTTTTTACCTCATTGCAGCCAGTTAATGTTCCTATTAATTATTACTGAAGCATGCTGAGGAGGCATGGACACACTCATACACACCTGGCAATAGATTATACAGCTGACAGATGAGAGGAGACTCCAGACTGAGTGGAGACATAACCAGCAGGGTCACTGATCAATCAGCTGATCATCGTCCTGATGATCTGATTGATCTCTTTGTCCCCATAATGTCAGATGCTGGGAAAAAGTCTCACTGTGACTCTCCAGAGCCAAAGGTGGCGTCTCCACACGTCTTGTTGTGTCCAACCAACAGATCCACAGAGACTCAGCTGATTATCATGTCTGACAAAGAAAAGCATCAGCTCCTCACAGCTGTTATACAAAGTCACTACAACCCAGCGCTGCAGCTGCCTTCACTTCCACAGAGCTTTACAGCATCATCACCTCACTGCTCATAGTGCAGCTTTGGGTGCAGCAGGAAGCAGCTAGTTCCAGAGTAAAAGCCCTAAAAACCACTGTACACTACCTGCTCAGCTCAGAGACTAACTGGTGAACATAGTGGAGAGGAACTTTTTCTTTAGAGGTACATGAGTATTTACATTTTATGCTACTTTATATTTATATGCCATTGTTTTACTTTTTATTTCTCTACATTTATGTAACAGATTTAATTACCAGTTGCTTTGATTTACAATATTATAGCTACAATAAAAGGCCCTAGTTGGACTGTTCAGCTGGCTGGTTGTGTTTGTGCGTGCAGGATTAACTGATGTTTTGCTACTGAGTGGGTGTGTGCTCTTTGCTCTTGCTGCGATGAAATGTTGTGAGAAAACCATTTATTTCGAAGTCTGCTCTACAGTGCAGGGACGGGGGGAGAGGAGAGTGAGAGAACTACATTTCTGTCTCAGACATCTTTTTATCAATGGTTGTTGATAACAGAGAGTGATCACAGAGTCATTGATCCACTGTGTGTTCCTCAAAAAAGGCCCTCTTATCCGATCAGTCCAGCCTTTCTGGCAGCTCTAAGCCCATTTCTCTTCATGTGTTGATGTTATACTGACAGACTGTCACTCTAACTTACCATGTAAACATGATCCTGATTTATGTAATCAGGCAGAAAGCACACACATACATTTGTGTTTCATGTGGAGATTTATCATTTCCCTGGCAACAAAAATATGACTGTTTTACAACACACAAAATCACCAGCCTTATGCTTTAAGGAGGCCTGCAGTACTTGACTATAGTAGTTATGTAAATTAGTTACTTCCCACCACTGCCATGTGAGCGAATCCAGGTTCCGTGCGCGACTTAAATCCAGCAACCAAGTCCAGATCCAGCGTCTCTATGATCCAGTGTCCGGGCTTTGGTCGCAGTGTCCCTAGCAGCCATTTAGCCCCACGGTGCTGTTTGTCTGTCTGTTGCTGTCTGTGCGTCTTTAGCAGGAATAACGCGGATCTGGCAACTCTGGGAATATCACATCTAGTTATGGATTACCTCGGATTGGTGTTATTTTCTTCCAGGCCCAGGATGTGACTCCAAAATGTCGGTGCTTCACGCTGTTTTCCAGTTTTCTCCGGGATGTGACCGTGTGATGGCTGCGGTCCAGTGAACTGGGAGCACGTTGACTGGTTTGCTCGTTCAATCCTCCAGTTTGGGAGCTTGTTTAAACTATCTTTACTGGGATTACCTGAACCTATGGAGTGCACATGAACATTGGTCAGACAGGGATTCCAAACGGGGTAAGTGGACATGCTGAAGTTGGTAGGATTTGGATCAGTTTATTTTGAAACGCGGGATAGCCTGCTAGCTATCCCGAGGGTTAGCTCGGTAGGCTAGCTGCTGTCTTTGTCTGGAGAGAGACCGGGGAGCTAAGGGGCATGCGTCTATCTTCGGACACGTCCTCGTTTGACGTTTGTTTCCTTTATACATGCAAAGTGTGAACCCACTGTCACTCGTTTTTAAACATAATGAATGTGTTTCACTGTTTGAGCAGCCTAACGGTTGCTAAGACACATTGGGTTTATCAGCTAACGCTACGTCTTATAAGTTACCGGTATGATAACCGTTTACTGTCCGTCTAAAATAGCACAGAGATGTTTGGCTGTCATGATTTATAGTACCTAAGTCATTATTGGTCATTTGGCATAGGCTGGATTGTTTTTTATTTAATTTAATTTGACTGTATTTGTGAGAACCAACGCTGGGTAAAGGGTAAAACGTCAAAAGTGTTGGGAGACATTGTAACAGTTGTCCGATAATCGACCCATAGCTTTGACAGCGCCGCATCGGTAATTGTCTATCACACGGCAAGTAGGACGTTAGGTCAACAGTTTTTATAACCGATCTGTGCACTGTTGTACGGTGGTGTCTAACATGAGATTTGGTTTGACGTGTTGATTCACAGATTTAAGTGCAGATGTGGTGCTCTTAAAACGATTCGCTTACTGCAAAGTTACACGGACAACAGTAAAATAAATAAATAAATAAATATCTATATATATGTGTCACAGGAGAGCTAAGCGGTACCGCGTCCGATAATGGATCTCGTTAGCCTTGTAGCGGACCACGACAGGCCTCGGATTAGCTGCATAAATTGTGCTCAATACCTGCACATTTTCGATGTTAGATACTCAGATTAATTTTGTTGCGTGGGTTTGATTGGAATATTATTCAGCTAAAGCCACTACAAGACATTAATAGTGTGCATGTTAGCTTTGTGCTGAAGAACAGTGATCTCAACGGCCGACGAGGCAGCCACCGCTAGCATGCCTCCCGAATAGCCCAGCTAAATGTGGCTAGCTGAGCTAGCTCCGTAGGGCTGGTGTGTCTGCGGCAGTTTACGGTTTCTTTACATATGAATTTAGCCAGTGTAACCCTCACACGTTATTAGCATTTTAAGTTTTTATTTATTGTTATTGTCCTCGATACTTTAAACAGACAACTGTCCAAAGATTAGTAACCTGGCTAATATGCTAACTGCATGATACAAATGTCCTGGGTTACAGGGTAACCTACAGCACAACTCGCGCAAAAGTCGGGGTTTCTATAGTGTTATTAAACCATTTTTAGTAATGTGATCTAATATCGTGTTATTGTGAATGCATGATATATTTTGGTTGAAGGCCCAAATAATTAGTTACTAAACTGCTGTGAAGAAATGATCCCCAGTAGTAGTTTAGTTCAAAGTTCCTCTGTTGAGACGTGAGAAGGTCCTTTAACCAGCGATGGGGTT